AATAAATTTTACTTGTTTTGTCTTATCTTTTCCTCCAAACTAGAATATAAGCACCATAAAAATGGGAACATTTATCTTTTTGTTCACTGCTATAGCTAAGAGCCTAGGGCAAATCTAGGTGCAATACATTCAATAATTATCAAGTGATCAGTTGAAAGAATGAGCAAAGCATAGCCACGGCTTCAACAACTATAGAACTCCTAAACTACAGTGGTTTAGAAAAGTAACTCAAAGTAGCATACAGGAAGAGAGGACTTCTGGGGCAAGCGAGGTGGCTCAGTGTGTAATGAACTGCCATCAAGCCCGAGATCCATCCCTGGGAGCCACCATGGAAGGAGAGAACTGACCCCTGCTAAGTTGTCCTCTGATCGCCACATGCTTGGTGTGGCATGTGCGTGCGTGCACACACACACACACACACACACACACACACACACACACACCAAATAAACATAAATGCAGTTAAAAATAAAATAAAGTAGATTTTTTAAAAAAGAGAACCACTTGAATAACTGAATTTTGAAAGACGTGGAGAGAAATTTGGCCTTCAATTGAGCTTCGTGTTGAGGAAATGGACACAAGGAAAGACTTGGTGAGAAATGAAGGAACTAGAATTCCAAGTGAAGGAAATACCACATTGACAAAAGTTCTGAGAATCCAAAATTCACTTATTCATTCAACATGGGGATTACAGCTGTGAACAAGCCAGGAAAATAGTCCCTGCCTGCAGGGAGCACATACTATTCACGGTAGTGGGAATGGCAGGCATTCTGATCTTGGACACAGCAAACCGCAGGAACTTACCATAGGCTTTTGATCAGGAAGAGTCTCAAAGAACTCTGCAAGTGCCAAAAAGATTCTGGGAAAGGGTGGGAGCCTCCAGAAAGGGCTTTGTGGGTCATACATGCAACAGGGGTGTCAGGAGCAAGGCAGTGGCTGTCACCATAGACAGTGTATACAAGGAGCCTGGTATAAAGCAGCTGAGAAAGGGTCTCAAAGCTCTGGAATGTGAGATTGACTGATCTAAATATGGATCCTCTGATGGAGAGAAAAGAGGTGACAGTGGAAGAGACTTTGATTCAGAAAGTGGAGGATGGCAAGACCAGGTTGTAGCATGACCCAGAGCATCAGTGGGTGGTCCACTCTGGGCTGTGTAAACACAGGCTGGACCGCAGTGCATTTCTGATGTTTACATGTCAGGGCTGGTCCGCATTTGCTGTTTTCTTCTATGACAAAGCTTAGCCCGTATGTCGCCCATCAGAAATTGGATTCAATTTCTTCAGTCAACGGGATCCACAAATGAATTTTTTAGTTGCTTTTGCTTGAAATTTACCACATCTGTCAACACAGCAAAGCTGTTTATTAATGGAGAAATGTTTTGAGATGTTCTGTTTTTGATATCATACAACAGAAATGCCAAGACTTTTCTGCACGGCAGGTTCTTGATAAGAGAATTGTGTTTCACTTTAATAGGATTCTAGCTGGACATCAGGATGGATGCCACTATACAAATAAAGGGAGAAAAAAATGAGGGTGTTTTGCCCCTGACATAGCTTATTAGCTTAAAATTAGTCTCTATTTAATCGAACCTTAGTTTTCTTTCAGATTTTCTTGTCAAGTGAAGGGTTGAAGTTAATATGTGGCACTCTCAGCTTTACACAGAAAACCTTATTTGCCACATGAAAGAAAAAAAAAATGTGAAAGAGGTGACAGCCTTGAATTGTCCAGTATAGCCAGCTCAAAGAAAAAAGGCAACACCTTGCACTTGGATAGTTAGTAAATTCTTTTTCGGAAATTGTTTTTTAAAACGCCATTTTATGGGCTGCGGTTGTTGCTCAGTTCTTTCCCACTGTGCATGACTCTGGGTTTGATCCATAAACACCATTAAATCAGGTTATAAGATATATGCCTGTAAACCCAGCACTCAGGAGGTAGAGACAGAAGGATCAGAAATTCAAGATTATCTCAACTACATAGCAAGTTCAAGGCCAGCCTGGACAACACGAGACTTTGCCTCAGAAAGGAAAAAAAAAAAGCTACTTTATATTGTATGATAGAAACATTCTCTGGTATCTGAGAGTCAAGGCAGAAGGCAGATATGTGAATTTTCTCTAATGAAACTTGACTAGCAGTAAGCCAAATCTGAAAGAACTCCACGGGCTGAAGAGAGAACAGTGACATAAGTGGTTCCCCTGCACCCTCTTTTTCATTTGGAAAGTGAACCCAGAGACTTACACTCTCTCATAGAGCTGCCCCGCAGCCCAGTGTTTCCCTCTTATGCCAGCCTGCACCTCCCTGTCTAGCACCACTTCCTGAGAAGAGTCTGGTTTCCTGCATGTGATCAGGGCTTTGGAGAAGTCCACGAAAGACACAGCATTTTAGTTACTCTGCTCTGGGTAATTTAGTTAAGTAAAAAGACAAATCTTGCCGTATTTTTGACAATAAAGATTTTGAAAGTTATATAGAGAAAATTCTTTTTCTTACCTTTCATAAGAAATGAGAACATGGTGAAAGACTTGAATATATTAATGTGTATACCATTGCGGAAGCCAGGTCAGTGTAGAAAAGTGGCCCAACAGTTCAGTGATGACAAGGGCTTAGCAAATACTTGCGTTAGAAAAGGAAGAAGCATCACTACATCAGGCTGGCTCCCAGCTCACAGGTTTTGCAGGTTCTGTGCCTTCTTTCTGTTTTTATTTCTTCTCATAGCTGGTATTTTCCCATCAGCTGAAGTCTTCTTGACCTATAGCCCAATATTCTCTTCTGCGTCCCCAAGTCCTTGCAGCAATCAATTTGTCATATTCCTTGGTTTTAATTTCTTGTTAGCGTTTATGGTGACCTGAAGTCATTTCTTCAAGTCCTCTTTTTCTGTTTTATCTATTGAACTAAAATTTTAACTCTAAAAAGCAAAGACCTTGTTTATCTCTTTCCTTGTACTAATTTAGATGTTAAGAATAATGCTGAAATAGATGAGGTAGAAAGAGACAGCAAGATTGCCACTCATGAAAATGAAAGAGCTAAGTGGGAAGGCTTCTTCAGTGGCTTAAAGAGGGAGAAAAGCATTTAAAGTAGTTAAAATTCTACTACAGAGGACACATAACTACAAACACTACCCATCCACATTATAATCGACCGTCTAAAGTACACGCTTCATAGAACTGCGTGTGTCCGCATTACAACTTTGGAAATGTAGAAGACGAATACTGGGTGTGGGGGACTTTTTTCTAGCTCAGAGCCCTTACATCAAATAGGACATTTCTTCTGCCCTATCAGTTGTACCTGAATGTTTTGTCTTCAGGTAATTAAGATCCTGGTACTAGGTCCAAGTGCAATTTCATCGGAGGGTGAGGTTGGAGTTGGTTGATTTAGCATCTCAAAGTGCCCTGAGGACTCAGGATCCCTCCATCCCTCTTCTCTGCCACCCGTAGGTATCACCCCATTCAAGAAGGACAGTATGAAGAGAGAAGGTTCCTGTTTTTTTCATTAGACTTTCTCTGGAAGACTTTAGGTTGTTGGGCATCTCTCCATTGTGGAAACCTCACTAGTGAGGGCTTGACATCATACAAAGTGACTGGGTCCATCCCTGAGCTTGGAAGAAGGTGAACAGGGTGGCATTCTTTTTGGAAGAGGGAAGTTCTGTGTATTTTATCTGCTATTCCTTGTTAGGAAGCAGTAAATAGTGTTACTGATAATTTTTTGTCTTAAATTTTGTGCCTTTTGACCTGATAAGTGATGGCTACTTCAAGATTCTAGGGGTGGATGCAGACTGGATACACATGTGGTTAGTCTTTTAGATAAAGTTCAGGCTTCTCCTCAAGAACATGAGGACGAATTCCCATGTCAGTGCCCAGATAACTTGCTGCTGACTAAGAGGGAAAGTGTGGGAAGAGACTTGGATCCTCTCTCAGATGTTTCAACTCCACACTCTGTCCTTAGAGAAGTGTAAGTTACTTTGGAGAACCCATCTCATTTCCAGATGACTTTGCATTATATTATCCTGTCCTCCTTCCCCAAAGCTTAAGAAGAAAGTTTGAGGATAATTTGAGATGTTGAGTGAGGAAGATGGTGAGTTGTCAAAGCGGGTGGGCTAGTACAACACTTCCACCTCCTATTCATGTCTTCTGTATGTAGGTCTGTTTAAATCCAGTTGAATTAATTATTATTATTTTTAAATTTTTCTTGTGTGTATGAGTGTATTTTCTGCATGTATGTAAGTTCAGTCATGTCATGCAATGCTTGAGGAGATAAGAAGAGGGTGCTGCCCCTGGAACTGGGGTTATGGATGGTCGTTAGCCATTATGTGGGTGCTGGAACCTTGGTTCTCTTCAAGAGCAGCCAATGCTCTTAACCTCCAAACCATCTCTCCAGTCCCCTGAAGTAACTTTTATGTAACTTCTACTGGATCTTTGAAAAATGTCCTTTGAGGGTAAGACTAAAACCAGAATAGATTAGCTAATGAAATGATAGTCTAAATGTTTAAAACTCCTCAGCCATTAGGCTATTATCAATTTACTATATAAAGGGTGGTTGGAATACAAAAAGAATTTCAA